GGGAGAGTTCACAGAGCGGTGGGTGGCGCTTTCCGGGAGCAGTGAGGAGACTTAAGCACGCAGAAGGGGGCGGCTGGGAAGGCGAGTGCACACAGACCCCCAGGTCTACCCGGGCTCAGGTGCTGGGCACAAGACTCATTGATTCTAGCTCAGGACCCTCAGCACTCGGGGACACTCCTGGGGGTGGGGGTGGGGGGAAGCGCTCTCCCTGCCAGGGAGTCACTTAACCAGTTCACAACCAGCACTCCTATTTCAGCTGAGGTCCTTATCCGAACCTTTTTGAAGGAGCTGTTCAGAAATGGAAGGCCTGTTGTTCATGATGAGTCCATAAGCGCTGAAGTGATCCTGCTTTCTTCCTCCGTGGTTATTCTTCCTCTCTTCAATACACACGAGTCTTTCTCCCTTCCCTCTGCTCAGCAATAGTCACATTTGCTTGTTTCAGCAGCTCCTCTTATTTCTTCCTTTTGCATACCAAGATCAGGGCTGACTGTCTCAGCCCCTCCTGATTTATCCGCTCCTTTCTGACCTGAATTCTGTGTTCTACTTAACCTAAACCTAAAGTCTGAGCAGGGTTTGTTTTTTTCCTCACCACGGACCTTGGCATGCTGTCGGTCTTCTAGCATGTGTGAATGGTTGGCACATACAGTTTGCAGCGTAGAACCTCAAGCTACCTGCAGAAGTCCTCTGTGAGTGCAAGGCAAGAGTAAGAGCAGGTGTGCTTGAGAGGAGCAAGACCAAGTGTGGAACTGTGACCAGCTTGGAGCGCACTTGACCAGCAAATGGAGGAACTTCCATAGAGAAACTCATCAGCCTGGGTTTCTTGCCCTTTGTGTCTGGCACCTTTAAAATTATGCAAGTGTGGTTTCTGCCCCAAGGGCCAGGTCTGTTTCTTTAAACAGAGAGACCTGGATTCTTCCCTCAACCCCAACTAAGGCCTCAGGCTTGACAGTTTGGTCCTGAAGCAAGGTAGCTGGCAGTGACCTCCTCAGGCTTCCAAATTTTGAGCCCGACCACCTCTGTCTTCACCACGCACCTGACTGCCATACCTGGCCTGTTCGCCAAGGGTCTATGCACGTGCTCCCCTCTCTGAGGAGCTGTTTCTGCCTCACGGGAAATGTCGAGCTCTGTATTGCCTTCTGATGTTGGTTTGCCCTTGTGTTTTTTCTTTTTTGCTGCAGGAAAGCAATCTCCCGGGCAGGCCTCCAGCACCTTGCTCCGGCACACCCCCTCAGCCTTCCCGTGGCCAACGGTCCTGCGAAGGAGCCCAGAGCGACTCTGGACTGGAGTGTAGGTGTCGGTTTATTCATTTAAACATGATTCAATTGCATGTGTGTTTTCCTCACTTGCAGGCGAGACTGACTCAGTGATTTCCATGTTGTTTGCTGGCCGGCTTCCAGAGCAGGCCTTCACGCCCGTGCGAACCCAGACACACAGGTCCTCTCTGAAGGGAAATATGGGGAAGTTTAAAATAAAATCTCATGAGTTGCTTGATGTGTGACAGTCCGGGCTTGTGGCTGTGAGGCAGTCTGTGCTTGGGTTCCTTGGCTCCTGCCTTGAGGACAGAGAGCCTGCCCTTAGCTACACCCTGGAGCGAAGGGTGATTTCCTCGGCCCAAAACAGTGTTTCTGTAATTAAAAATAAGTAAATGTCTACACACAGAGATGCAGAAAGTCAAAGAGGGACAGGCATGGGCCAGTGGTTAAGAGTGGGTTATGAACTGGGAACCCCAGAAGGTTAGTTTGGTGTTCCCTGTGGCTCTAAACCAGCAGGACCCCACGTGAGACACGACAGGTGAACTCATCTCGGTAGAGTGTTTCTACCCCATCAGATGTGGGAGCTGAGGCTGAAAATCATCAAGTGACTGGAGAGGCCTTCCTCTCTCTGCCGTCTCCAGTCACTTGATGATTTTCAGCCTCGGCACCCACATCTGATGGGGACAATTTGGTCCTCCCCAAAGGGGGACTTGGTGGCTGTGCTTAGCCTCAAGTATGGCAGGTGGCAGTCCCTCATCAGCCTCGCCCGTGAACGTTGTCAGCTCACAGGCTTATTTCTTCAGCGGTCAAGGAGTCGGCTGCCGCGTCCCTCAGCCAGACATTGCTCGAGAACCTGTCCTGCTCTGGCAGCTATATATTGACCGCGTGGTTCTGAGGTGGGGGAGATACAGTTTTTGCTTTCTAGAAGCTTCAAGTCCAGCGGATGGAGAAGAAACCACCAGGTAAGCCATAGAGTGCTGTCTCCTGCAGTCGGCTCGAGAGAGCCCCTCCGGGTGTGCAGGAGGGCAGCTGCCCTATTTGGAGTTGCAAGTCGTTCTCAGAAAATGTTTTTCAAAAGAAATGTCCTGCCGGAGCCAACTGGAAGGTATTATTTTCTGACTCCCGTAGAGAAGTATGTGTTCTGATATTTCTCAAAATGGTATTTTTGGCTGATGGTGAAGCCTGCAGTACTTATTAGAGGAAAAGCAAACAGGACCCAACGCAGGCAGGTTCCTGCTTGTGGTTCTTCTTCCTCCCTCTCGCTGCGCTTTCCCAGCAGGGCACCCTGTTTAGATTATGGGGGGCTTCCCTGGTGAGGGAAGGGTGTACGTCTCCACATAATGAAGCTCTCCACGGCCATTGCAGCATGAGTTCGATCCCCGGCCCTGGAGCTGACCCACATGGCGCAACGGACCTCGCCTGACCCGCCCGCCACTCCCCTCAGCGGTGTGTTTCAGTCCATCGGCCTGTTCTGCTCCCTGCTCTTCCTTGTAAATCCTTTTACCCCCTGCATCTCTGGCCTGCACCCCAGCTTTTATATGCGTAAATAAATAAACCTTAAAAAAAAGATGATGGGCTGGCAGGAGACATTTTGGGGACGTTTTGTTATAGGGCACCTCAATTCAGAGAGAGGCACCCCTGAAGCCCCAAAACCTGCCTGCTCTAAGTGGGTTCTGCCATCCGCCGCAACAAGACAAAACATATAAAGCTTTA